GGGGGGGGGGCACCGCAGAATTAAGGGTTGGAAAGGCGGGGTGGATACGTGTTGCGATGGAAGCTACAGAGAGGTCTCGATGGCTACGCCGCAGGGATGTATCGCAGAAGATATTTGGAAGAGCAGCATCGCTGCGAGTTCGACCGAGCATCACAATGATCAACAACATACCCCCACAACCACCATCACCACCAATGAAAACAACAACAGCAACGACAACAACAACAACAGCAACGACAACAACAACAACAGCAACAACAGAGAGCAACAGCAACAACAACAACAGCGATTCTTGCGGCAAGACTTAACGCCAGCACACTCACACCCTAGCCAGGTAGAGGCAAGACAAGCTGACGTCACCTACCAATGAAAGACTGATAAAACAACCATGACAACGGTGTTGGGGTTTCGAAACACGGAATACCGTAGGTGACATGACGTAATATATCACACCCCCAGGACCGACTTTCAAGGGTCGACTCCACAAGCAAAAACAATAGTGGTGCTAAAAATGGTGGCGTTGGAAGCGTTTTGTCGAGAGCCTTCCGAAAATACATCGTTTGATTCATGCATCCAGTTCGTCGTGGAGAGATCGGGCCAAAAAAAACGGCCCTGTGTCGGCCGTGACACAAAGTGGCCGGCAGGTCAAGAAACATACAACGAACAGGAAGGTCAGCCAACACCGGTGTGGACAAACAGCTAACTTCATCCATCCGTGGATAACAAGATACAAAAAAGATATAAAGTTGTTTCCTATTTTCTTAAAGCAACGAAACAAGTATTAATCTCCTCCACACATAACGAGAATGGGATACAGGTAAGCAACGACTCCATAGTTTCATTTTCGATAAGAATCAGAAGAAAAAAACAACCAACCTGGCGAGTGACGTCGACAAGGGTATCGAACCCCCCTGCAAAAACGCCTCCGTCCAGTACGGGGTCGCTCCCCTCCACGTTCGCGTTGTGCAGCACGGTCATCGTGCCGAGACCCATGGGTCCGCCGTCGAAAACCTGATGAAAGCACAACAAGAGAAGTTCTTAAAGCCGTTTTGTAGAACGTCTATTCCTGCTAGCATCAGCGGGCAATACCCTCGTGCTTCTATCTGTGTGCAGGCTTAACAGACTCAACCAAGCCGAGCACAACGCGGAACGGTTAGTAATATGAAGACAACAACAACAACAACAACAACAACAGTAGCAACAACAACGACAACACGATGGAAGGAGGAAGCCGAAACCAGAGACAAAAGTACATGCGCATTGACCCAAACGAACAACCAACATGTTACAGACGCACCGAGTTGGGACGTTCAGTTGCACCTTCTACCACAACAATGTGACATTTTTGTCCTCCTCCTGCTGTAGCGTGCTCAACGACGACGCACGATCTCAGCATGCCCGCTGCATTTAGCTATTCATGCTGGTGCTTGACCACGCGCGTGGGCGCAGCACACAAGCTAGTGGTCTCCTTGCAACCACAACAAACACTACGACTGATAAAACATTCATGCTTGCTTCCACAGTCAACAAGCACGGGTGGAAGAGGCGGCCCATGCTCCCACCACAAACAAAACGGTTGGCGAAAACAATCGTGCTTGCCCCCACAGCAAAGATAAAACGGCTGGAAATGAAGCCCGTGCTTCCTCTCCTTTCCTACCTGCGAATCTCCAAAGACTTCCGCGAGGTCCGGTTGCAGGCCAGGCAGCGAGTGGAGCCGCTGCGGCCCCGGGCGGTTGAGGATCAAGCCCAGGGTGCCCTGGTCTCTCGCGTGGCTGAGGACGAGGATGACGGACTGGTGGAACGTTCCACTGTCGATCTCCTCCGTGGCTATCAGCAAACAGCCCTGGATATTGGGTGGGGAACCACGGGGAAGGGGTTAGGAATAGGGTTAGGGTGAGGGTTGTACCGTAGGATGCACAAGGTATCACACGCCCTGGACCGATTTTCGAAGCTCGGACTCTCGGCAGGAAAGCACTGACGGTGCCGAACGTGGTGGGGTTGGAACCGTGTCGTCGAGAACTTGCCGAAATCATATCCTTTGGTTTCGGCATCTTCTTCGGCGTCGAGTAATCGAGCTTCGAAAATCGGTCCAGGGGGTGTGATATCTTATGCAACCTACGGTAAGCACCAGAATCTCGTTACAACAGAGGTGGCTACGGTTTCAGAGAATTTTCTTATTTCTGTCTTCACTTCAAATCAGCGCTCACAACGCTTGTTGACGTTTACTCCAAAGCAGTGGTCACACAGAAGGGTTTCCTCCTATCCACCCCTCCTGCGACACTGCTGTGCCTTCGGTTCTTACAATTGAACCACTCGATTATTCCGACCCTCGCTAACACAACTGCACACAAACACGAAAAAAAACTCAACCATAGGGGGTCAGCGGTCTGTCACGTACTGCAGCGTCCCTGTCTGTACAAAAAGGGACCCGCAACGGAGGGCTGGGGTCGGTAGAGGGGCTCAGCGGCATGGATCAGCAGAGAGGGGGCCAGCTAAGCGGGGGACGAAGGGAACAGCTCGTCTTTTCTAGAGATTGATCGGGCTCGGAAGGGGTACATGCGGCTTGAGAAGGATGGGGTTGACTGACTGCATACACTCGGCAGCCCTACCCCGCGTCGGCAGGAACGGGCGACCAAGGATAGGAGGCGGCTCGCCTTGGGCTGTATCTCGCCCATTGACTTCCCTCGTCTGTCTCCAACAACCTTTTGTGCGTCGTCCGCAACTTCTTGTCTAGCATCGCTCTACCGTACACACAAAAACATGCTGAACAACCATCTGGAAATCCAGCACGATCGGGGGGGCCGGGGGGGGGGGGACGTAGCATCAGACCAACTTTCACGAGGTACGTGTATAGCTAGCCCCCACTCACAGCCTCCACAGTCCCGATGTCATGCGCCCAGCACCCGTCGCTCCACGGGTCCTTCCCGTTGTCTTCCCCGTACCGGCTGATGAGGTTCTTGCGAAACAATCGCCAGTCTCGGCCCTTGACTTCGGGCAGCTGGCGTAACGTTAACGATTCGTCCGCAGGCGTCATCGACGGCAGAGGAGGGTGGGTGGGTCTGGGAACACGGGGAGAGGCGTTGAAAACACCGAAATCGACATGGAATGCAAAACAACCAACAGTTTTGGTTCTCCCTCTCGCTCTCTCTCTCTCTCAAGGTTCAAGGACAGAGAGGGGGAGAGGGAGAGAGAGGGAGAGAGAGAGAGAGAGAGAGAGAGAGAGATGTACATTGGGCGGGATCTGGAATACTGAAATGTCCGAGGGGTTAAAGCTGAAGTCCTCCCTCGTTTACTTGCCTCTCCCCGCTCACGCACGCGTCACCCCCGCATACTTCAGGCGGTAGTTTTTTTCTTAGCCGGGCAGGGATCAAGACACGCCTGCTTGACATCCCCTCTCATTTTGGCTATGGCTCGTTCCTCTGTGGGGGTTCACCCAACATCACCTCTATACTTCGAATAGGTTCTACTTAACAGGAATAATTACATGTGCACCCTAGTTTTGGCCAACTTCCACAGCAGTATAAACGGCGGTAGTTTCGATGTATTGAGCAGAACTTGTTAGCTCTCAGGGAATATTATATAACAGCAGTACATAGTGGTGGCACCCCGGTAGACCCTTACAGGAACCGAGCCGAGCCGCGTGTTACACAGCAGACAGGTCTGCGGGCGGGGGGCCTCTCTGTTGCTGCCGAACGGTTTTTGAACATGTACAGCAGTACCCGTGTTTCGCCTGCCAGAGCTGTGGGTAGTCTATGCATACAGCACATCTTCCATACCTATGGCGTCGGCTGAACCTGGAGCAAAAAATCGCGCATGAAGTATGATACAAACCGAGATAATATATATTTGAGAGATAGAGAGGAGAAGAACATTCCGTGGAGCTCCCAGTCACAACTCGCCGCCAACACAATGCTACGTAAAACAAATAGAGCGAGCTCTACATGTAGGCAAAATAGATCTGATACATGACAATGCCGTCTGTCGCCGTAAAAGCCCGCTGCAACACAAATGATTTGCCAACCGGATAACAAATGTGGCAGCAGTTTGGGAAACGTTCTAGGTGAAATCGTGAAATCTCTGGATAAACGGGCCACGAAACGACAAGCTTCAGCCCGCTCTATATTGACCGCTCGGCAGGGGGCAGTCTATGTAAGTTGGTTACAGCATGTCGTGTCCCAACGGGTCTTGCATGCACCGCAGGCGAAATCGATCCCGGAATACCACTTCAACCTCTCGGCAAACCATGTGTGCCCTTACACTTTTTTTCTCATGACAGCAGCAGACAGAGTGGTGGCATGCGCCCGAGGTATTGTATAACGTACTACTCACCAGGTCATCGTCCGAATCACCGCCCCCGCCCCCGCGATCCATCTCCCCCCACCGCCGGCCCTGGTCCTCAACGCCGCCGCCGCTGCCCCCGTCCCGAGATGATGCCGCTAGCACCGGCAGCCCTTTGTTCCTTCCCAGTCTTGCCGCGGCGGCAGTACCGAAGGGAACCGACGGGTGACACTGGAGAGCTGCGGGAGGGAGGAAGGATTCCACCACGCCTAGCACCGCCCCTGCCGTGATCACGAGGGACAGCAGCATGGAACAGCTCCCCGGCGGCGGGGTCTGCTGTCGGCGCGACATTTCAGCAGCAGCAGCAGCAGCTGCTCTTTGCATGTTCTCGGCCTGGATGCGCTGTCCTGCAGGGAATGGGGCCGGGTTTTGTCACACAACGGGGTGATCGTCTCGTCACCGATGCAAGCTTGGCACGAAGAGGATCTGCGATCACCTACACCAGAGAAGGGCAGAGACAGAAGATCCTGCTGTTTCCTGTGTGCCGCTTTTTCGAAAAAGCAGGCAAGCCAGCACCAAAAGGGCTCTGAGGGGTTCGCTAATGTCATATCCATACTAACGTACCCCTGAAATTTAATCTATGGTGCCCCTCCTCTAGAAAAAAGCAAGCCCACCACGCAACATAGCAGCAAACTTCTTGCCATCAATCGTCCATCCAGCCCCTTTGCCAGTCCCATGGCTTCATCAGTGAGCACGATGATGTCAGAAGAAGGGGTGCCAGCAGCACCCCCCGCCCCGGAGGTCCAGAGGGAAATGATAGCGGAGGCGATGAAGCTTGAGATGAAGCAAGGCCAGGTACGCAATCGTCGCCTCTGTTTTTTCGTCCGAGCTCGCCGGAGATTAAATATTCTCCCTTCCGAGCAGCAGGTGGGCAGGTGGGCGCGAATCTCACCACCGCTGTTGCTGCAGGGGGCTTGGTAGTAAGGCAATCTTCAACATGATGAAGAGTTCCCTCGTGCGGATCGAGTGTGCAACTGTCGAGATTCCCCCACTGGTGTAGGGGGCGCTTCAGACCAATATATGGAGTGCTTGTAACATCTGGTAGTACAGGCAGTACTTCACTTTTCCAAGTAATGGTACACAACACCAGACGCGCGTTCCTCCGCCACTGACAGACACAGTTCACCCAAGCCCTTTGCCCGTGGTGGAGCCATTTCTGCTGCTACGGTTCGTGTCTACGTGAACTTTGGCTGTTACTTTAAGTTGGCTACTGCTGATACAAAATAGATGGGGGGGGAGAAAAACCAGATACGAACGTGTGCCTTCCCGACATGGTGAGATGGTTATGCACTATTTTAGCAACGAGCCTTACGCCACTCTCCCCCCCCTTTCAACTGGTCGGTCGGCGGTCCAAGGAATGCTGCCGCCGAACCTGTGTTGTCCCTGGGATGCATGATACGCATTCCTCAGTTGTCGTTAAGCTGTCAGTGACATAAGTATTATATCTACATAAGTCACACGCTTTGCACAGACAGCTGAAGATGTCCGCCGACGCCCGAAAGTGCCGCTTCACGCAGCGGGCCGCACCCCCTACCGTAGACGAAATTACTCTACCAAACTGCCTTGTTGCCTTGTTGAGCCTGTTACCCACAGGGGAGATATCGTTATATGCTGTCTGGAAAACCGTAGACATACAGGTAGCCTTTCGCTCACGCTATGGATCCATTGCTTATCTATCTTAGACTTACTTCTATGGATAGAGATGGATTTGTTGTGTGATATTAAGAAAAATATATATATACATATATACGCCCCGCTTCCAGCCGGTTTTCCCTCCACTCACTGAAAAGATGTTAACCACAGGGGAGATATCGCTGTGTGCTGCTCGGGAAATCCTGGAAATACAGGTAGCCTTCGCTGACGCCATGGAGTCATCACTCATCTATCTTACAGTAGACTTTTCCTTGAAATGGATTCGTTGGCCCTATATGTAGTAGGAAAAACAAGAAGACTCCCAACATATCCCGTTCGACAGGGGTTGATGTCTCGGACGGGTAGCCTTTCTGTGAGATAATGTTTACTTTCTAGAAACCCGTAAATCTCGATGGCAAGCACTGCCTTGTCGATTCCTATATAGCTTGAGTGTTACCCGCCCCCCCCCCCCTCCTGCCCTGACGTTTGTACGGCAGCACATCAAGAAGAGTCTGCGGTGCATGTTTTGGTAGAGACAATGACTGCTGCCGGTGTGAGCACAACCTTTTTAATTTTGTCTACCCGTGTCTGCTGGATGCCTTTGTGGCGACTCTTTCATGTACCATCCCCCTTTTATACCCTGCTCATGGAAGAAGCCAAATCCTGTACCCGAGTTTTGGAGCGGTAGAGCCAGTGGCCATTTCGTGTCGTGGCCTCTTTCACCCTCGCTTGCATCTTGGGTCGTCCCCACTGCCGTAGCTTCGTCTGAGTGTCATATGGGCAAAGAAGTGCCATTGGAGTGCACCTTACACGGTCAGGCGTTCGTGCTGTAGATGACTGTGGACGATGGTTGCGTCCTTTTGACCATGTTGTATGAAAAACCCCAACATGACGAAATCGTCCTGCATTTAAACGCCTGGGTGCTCCCCCACGGCAGCAACGCCGGCCTTATAGAGCACGACCTTCGAATTCCGCCGCCACCTGAAGGTTGTATTCCGCGTTGCTGCTGTGGCACCTGCACGCTGCTGCTGCTGCTGCTGCTGTGTGCGTTTGTCGCAATTTTATCTCACTGCTGTTGCTGCCGCATCCGTATGCTGCTGCTGCCGCTGCTGCTGTTGTGTCTGTGTCGCCATTTCATCGCACTGCTTTCACTGCTGCAAAAAGGTCTGGTACGTCCTAGGGAGTAAGTGGTGGCAGTTGTGGCGAGCCTTCGTGCGCTTCGACGACACCAAGGAGCCACCACCTTCAGCAGCGGCGACAGTGTCCGCCACGCCAAGCAGCATGGACGAAGACGGTGTGCTGGTGAAGGCCGAGGACGTTGCCGGCGTCGCGGTGAAGGCCGACACCAACGAACACCGCGTGGCGGAGCTTTCTCTGGAGGAGGGGGGTAACAGCAGCGGCGACGGGGGGGAGAGGGCATCGTCATTCACGGAGCGGGCGGGCCCTGGCCCGATCGACAACCGAACATTGGGGGAGGGCCGCGAGCTTTGCGAGACCCTGGTGAGTCGCAGCGCCTACGGGCACCACGTATGTAAACGTGTGATTCACGTTTAGGTCCTACATGGGGCAGGACCGGTGGCCTTCGCGGGCTTTCTCTATCAACATGTCAAGACAACACATGCAATCGGGCAAGTTGGGTGAGGGTTTAGGGTTGGGGAGAGGTTCTGCGCATCCCCTCCCTGTTGTGCTTTTCTTTGTAAATCGTAATTTCCCGCGAAGGCGGTCCGGCGGGGGACCCGTGAGCTACCACGGCGATGTTGTCTCACAACACTTGGCTGCTGCGGAACAGCCCCTCCGGGTGGTCGACGCCCGACGTGTTTCTTGCAAGCTTTAGGTGGTCGACTGCGTAGGTCCAGCCAGCTACCGGCATGACTGCGGTGGTGCAGTGGTAGTGGCGGTCTTCGGGAAGCGCTTTGGTTCGTGTTGCGTGCAAAATTGGCCGACGTTGACAGTCGATGGAGGAAAGAGGGCTGCTTAAACGTGCCCGCAAAAGGCCTGGATAATGCGTATCACCTGAGGGGGCTTGTTTCTGTCTGACCTTGAATTCCTATTATAGTAGGGGATACCACAACGTTCTAGATATGCATACATGGGTGGCGTAGCACCATGGTGCAGCCTCAAAAGTGCGAGGAATCGCACGCATGCCTGCCCTCGAGCGATTGTCACACAGCTCGGTTGCACGGCAACCAACAGGTTGCCAGTGCCGAGAAGGGTCGTCTTTGGTAGTATCTCATGGAGAAATTTCCTTGCACGCATCGGCCTTTTCATTCGCACTAGCTTTTGGTGTAGTGCAGCAGTCGAGCTTTGAAGTCGGGCTAGGGGGGGGGCGGGTCACTCTGCACCGTGCTGTCGGAAACCGATGCTCAACACAGGGACCGTTAAGGCGTGTTCGACGGAGGGTGGCGAGAGCTGCACCGCTATGGCTGTGGTTTGGCGAACCGCTGTTGCTCCAAAAAACTGGCAGAAGCCGTTTGCTGTCGTGTGTATGGAGAGGACACTTGGCAGCTTTGGTTGAGCTGCTCGCCCCTCCGACGCCCGTAGACCATCCTACGCATCCCTTCCCTCACGGTGGTGGCGGGTGATGGCGTCGTTGTGGCCCGGTCGTGCTGTGGTGGGGATGCCTGCATGTGGGATCGAGACAACAACAGCAGCCGTAGTGTGGTGAAGCGGTGATGCCCTTGCCAAATGGGAAGGAGAGGACTTGGCCCCGTTGATCGAGCATGCATCATGCTCTTGTCAGATGAAGGGATAGAGGACTACCTGCTGTTGAACAACCGCGGGTGATGCTCTTGTCAGATAGGATAGGGAGGACTACCTGCTGTTGAATATCCGCGAGTGATGCTCTTGTCAGATAGGATAGGGAGGACTACCTGCTGTTGAACATCCGCGAGTGATGCTCTTGTCAGATGGGATAGGGAGGACTACCTGCTGTTGAACATCCGCGAGTGATGCTCTTGTCAGATAGGATAAGAGAAGACTACCTGCTGTTGAATAACCGCGGGTGATGCTCTTGTCAGATAAACAGAGAGAGGGCTACTTGCTGTTGACCAACCGCGTAATGCTCTTCTTTTTTTCTTGACCAGATGGAGGGAGAGGACTACGTGCTGCTGCACAACCGTGCGTACGAGTTGCTGGAGGCGTGGTACGGCGGAGGGCCTCGCTTCAAGCGCTGGGTGGTGTCCTTGGGCGACGACACGCGCACGCAGCTGATGGTCGAGCTCTTCCCTGTCAAGTGAGGACAATGGGGGCT